TACACCCAACCCAAAGACATTCTTTTGAAGACTATGCTGTTCTCCCAGTTTTTCTTGTAATGGTCAAACAGAAAAAGAAAAACAAATTTTTTTCCAGCTGCAAGTGTTTTTCATTCTTTTGCTGATAATAATGAAGTAGATTTGAAATCGGCCAAGTAGAAGGTGGAATATATGCACTTTTAATCTTTTTTTGCAAAGTAGCTTCCCACAGTTTAGTTAAAACATTTTTTTTACTTCCTTGGCAAGTTGAAATAAAAACTTGAGAGCCTTAAGACCACCCAGTCTGGGGTATGTTGCATGGTGAGCTATTTTTACTCCCGGCTTAGAGCCATCTGGTTTCCCTGCGAAGGCTCACGTTGGCACTTCTCAGGGCAGCTGGTCACACGGCTCTTTCCCAAGCAAAGGCTGATGACCTGGGAAGGAATTCATGCCATTTCCATGTATCTCTGCCCTCACCATATCCTTCTCTGGTAGTTAATTCTGCTGATCCTCATAGCCGCGTCCTGAGCTTAGCAGCACTAGCTCTTCAGCTCTCTCTTGCATCTAAATATTGCAGCTTTTTCTCCCCTGTGGCGTCTAACAGAATGTCAGCTCAGCACACCAAGCCTGGGGCTCCCCAACACTTCGGTAAACCTGTTGTCATTTTTCCTGACTATGTGGCATGCTGCCTCCTGCCACTTTTTCTGCTCTGCTCCTGGGACCAGTGGGCCAGGTGAATGTTAAGGAGCTGAGTGCCTTATCACGGTAAAACTATGCTGTGGATGGGCAATTTTAAAAAATGCATTCACAAGGCTGCCTTTGGGGAAAGGATAAATCATCGAACCAGTCCTCATTAGTCTCAGGCAGAACTTGCTTTCATGATGGCCATCATCTGGCACAGCCAGGAAAGGCCTTCTAATGATCTGGACTCCTTTGTTAGGTTTTTTTTTTTTTTTTTTTTAAACATTGAGCCCAAAGCGTTGATTCTCACTACTTGGAGAAGCATTTCTTTACTCTTATCAACACCTTTCAATTCAATTAATATTTATAGGGTGCCAGATGGATCTACACCACACCAGCACCTCTGACTGCTCTCATGAGCAAATGGCAGTGAGGAGAAACAGAGGCTGCATTCATTTTGAGCAGCCCTGCTCTGCAAGGTCAACAGTGGTCTTTTTTATTCTATCATGCTAATTTATGTCCTAAAGGTCTTTGGTGACAGTGCCTAATAGTCAGGCAGAAAAATCCCAGTAATTAATATAGGATTACAGAAATAAAAATAGGAGATTTTCACAGACTCGGGAACATTTCTCCACATTATCACATCCACCATCAGTGTTTGGTGCTAAGTTCCAGAACAGTAATCATTTACAGAAAGCAGTGACTTGGGGTTGGGCTTTGCTGTGTCCCGTGCAGTAACTTCGTCACTACGGTCCAGAGTTTTCCCTTTAATGCTTTCATATTAATAGAAACCACTCCCCATTCCCTAGATTTCTGCTCCTACTAATGCCTCTAGTACTTATCACAGTCCTTCTTTCAACTACTAGGTGATGTCATGGACCTCACTGTTAGAGGCAAGTTCTGTGCTTAGCTGTACACCATAAAGCAGTTAAGAGCTTTGAAGCCAGATGTTAGGATATCATTGGTTAGGATATCAGCTCTGTCACTTGTTGCTTTTGGGCAAGGTAATTAACCTCCATGTGCCTCAGTTTCTTTTTTTATAAAAAATGCAGACAATAATAATAACAGCATTCTCAGGTGAAAGTGAGGTTTTGATTAACCCTGAGGCCAACATACCGGCAGTTAGGGTTCTAGATGCTTGTGAACTTGAATGGGAAGTTCGCATTTCCCACTGAATGTGAAAAATTAATTACATCTAGGATCATTTGTTTTTTAAACTTATGTTATTAAATCTGTCACTAGATCTTATCTTTTGATGTGCTAAAAAGAAGTACCTTTTAAAAATCACTTTTTAATGTTTTGCTGCTGTCTCAGTATATTTTGTTTTTCTTGTATCTCATATATTCTATTTTATGCATTTAGAGCCCATAATCTGAGACCAAGTTTAGAGGTGCCACATGATTCCCAAAGGACTCTAAAGCCCAGAAATAAAATAAAATAAAGAATGCTTGAGATAAAACATGTGCCAAATACAGTACTTAAAACCATTCCTGGCACACGATGCATTTGCTATTAAGACCTTTCTGACTGCTATAACAAATTCCATGAGTTAGAGAGCTTAGAAACAACAGAAGTCTACTTCCCAGCATTCTGGAGGCGGAACGTCTGACTTCCAGCTGTTGGTGGATCTGGTGCATGGGGAGGATCTGTTTCCTGTTTCCCAGGTGCCCCTCCTGCCTGTGTCCTCATTAGGTAGAAGGGCAAAGCAGCTCTCTGGGTTCCTATAAATGAGGGCTGTGCTCTCCTGACCTGACCACCTCCCAGAGGCCTGACCCCAACACTATCACTTTGAGGGTTATGATTTCCACATATGAATGGCGGGACATACAGGCCTAACAACTATTATTATTACTATCTCATCTAGTCCCTACCACAACCTAAGCAGTAAGTGTGGCCGTTGTCATTCCAGTAGAGTAGATACACAGGACATATATGGTTAGGAAGGCAGGGATTTTTTTCTATCTTGTTCATGGTCTATCTTCAGAACCTAAAATGTGCATGGCACATAGGAGATATTTCATAAATGTCTGTTGAATGATTGTCAGATCCCAGTTTCACAGATGGGGCCACCAGGACCAGCAGAGGCGGGATACAGTGTTCTCAGACATCCAGCACCCAAGCGGGTGTGGGTCTAGATTGGGGACAGGACTTCATCTACCATCCCCTAGTCATTTCATAATTTTACAGCAATATTCTCCCCAAGTTTAGGCCTCTGATTTGGGGGAAAGGAAAGCCTCCTTTTGTTTGGGCCTTCTTAATGGAGAAAGAAGGACACTTTCAGATGATACATCGAAGTGAATAAATCCAATTCCACCAGCACTTTTACCAGTTATTTGACATAAATAAAATTGTAGTAATGTGTGAGTGTTCTGGGCTTGTCCCCTTTCACATCTGCTAAAGGGAATTTTGTCTTTCTCAGTTTAGCTTCTGGGCTTTTATGGGGCAGGATTTGGGTTTCAAAAGAATAGAGAAATGATAGAATGAGAATATGCATCAGAAGGAACTGAATTTTAGCCATGGAAACAACAAATGGCAGAAATTGAAGAAGAGCTAAAGTGACATGGAAAGCCAAGAGCCTCAAGGGCTGAATGACAGAGTGAGGTACTGGGGTGGGGAGAGACTGGGACTGGCCACCCTGGGCTGTGAGCATTTGTTTAGAGAGACAAGAAAAAAATCTGATAACCTGCAGGCCTGTGGATGAGTGTTTATTTCAGTACTTCGTCTTCAGGATAGGAAGCACAGCACATCCTCGCCTGTATGTGGGTAGCAGCAGCCCATCTGCTCCGGGTAGCAGAGTCTCGCGCTGTACTTTCTCTCCTCCTTCCCCTGTCAGTGCCAACTGCCAGCTCCTCCCCAGGCCTGGATGCAAGTTTCCTGGGGAAGATGGAAGACCATCCTCCCTCTCGCTCTGTGATTCGTCTTGTCACATGGCCCCAAGGTGGCACAAAATGCAACCCACGTCTCTCTGAGCTTTTCAGGAAGTGTGTTTGTGTCTTTTGTATCTGCACAAACACTCAGGCATCTACAAAAACAAGCAATGGCTTATAGTCATAGTCCAGCCTAAAGAAAGCTTAAAAAATTCTGCAAAGAAAATCCTATCTAACAGTTTAGAATGACAGCTAAAGATTTTGATTTTGACATGAGGCAGGCAGGTTTGGATCTGATGCCAATGATTAATCATCGAATTTAGGCATCGGACCTAATCAATCAGGCTCAGCTGTCCCATTTGTAAAATAGGGATTATAACATATATCCCAGAGTGTTTACTGTAACCACTACATGAAATAATCCAAATAAGATATTCATGGGTGTTTCCTTATTTTGTGTCTCTTTCTATATTTATAAATAACCCTTTTTCTGTTTTCCAGGACAGTCTGTCCCAAAGCTATCTCCTACTCTCTAGCTTTTGCAGGATAGAAATCTGTTGGTATATTTCCAATGGCATCTTTTCTTTCTGGTTTTCACCAGTGCTGTGAAGCGTTCAAATCTTCCACTTCCACATATTGGGCTGGGCTAGAGCCCTGGAAGCCTAGGGATTCCTGGCCCCTGGTGGAGAGGAGGCTTCTCCTCGAACAATCTGCCAGGATGGGTGTTGAACCCGAGGGCTTCCTCCACCATGCTCAGCAGCAGGGAACCGCCCCTGGCATTGCCTTATGGTTATCAGCACAAGGAGCTTTGTGGGGGTCACTGAGCCCTCCTTTGTTACAAACCACTGCAAGAAAGCCACCAGATATTACATGTTGGAACTAGGGTAATATATGGTTTAGGGTAGAAATTGAGTAAGTACTATATTCTAAATCAGTGGAAACATACAACTCAGCATTAGCTATTGTGAAACAAAGATTTGGGACCACTAAAAATTAAAAATATGGAAAGCAAAGTGGAAATGAAAGTATGTGCAGTGATTTCAATGTGACCACCACCATTCTGGGTAAGTAATTGGTCTAAGTCAATTTTTAAAAAACCATCAAGAACTTCCCTCTGAAACAAAAACAATGATGCTTATTCCTCCAAAGGTCCACATTTAAGTTCTACCACAATCAAAACAAAACAAACAAAACCCCACACAGAAATAAAAGTAACAAAAATCACATTCTCGGGGATCAATGCATTTAGCAGTCTTTGCTGTACTAATTGTCCTCAGCTGACTTTAAAAAACAATAACACTCTAGCTCATCAAAATATACATTTTCCATTTGCTTTTTTAAATTAAAAATAATAATTAAGAAGAGAAAACTTTAAGGAAGTCATAACCAATTGCCTGACTCATTTTGGTGGTGGGTACAGCATATGGAGGTCAGGAGGGCTGTCTGCAGTACACACCATTGGGATATTCATCTTCAGAGTTTAGCTTTCTTCCTAACAGTGTATAACACCCACAATTCCAAGTATGAAGGGACGCAGATGATCTCCATAGGGAATTCCACAGGACAATACAGGCGCCCGAGCTGCTCTTCATAGAGCGACAGGGCTTCTGTCAAATTGACACAGTTCCCTGTGGAAAATACTTCCCATCCTTTAAATACTTTCATGGAGAGGTCAAGAATCAGTCTGAGAAACTCCCATGTGGGATCTTCTTCTGGAGATGTGGAGATTGGAACAGCTGTCAAATCATTAATCACATAATCAAACTCTCTCCCTTCTTTGGTGTACCTTTTCAGTACTGGAATACAGTCTTCTATTAGAACCTGAGAGCAGTCTCCTTTAAGATTGCCTAAGACTCCACAACATGTTTTGTGCACATATTTCTTACATGGGTCAACCACCATTTGGTCAATCTCTACCATAGTGGCCATCTTTGGTTTCAGTTTGACTATTTCACGTGATTTGCCTCCATTTCTACCTCCCAGAATCAGTAGGTCTTTGCCAGTGTACTCTTCTTTGCCACTGTCCATGATGGCCCAGGTATATGCCAAGTCACTCTCTGCCACATTAACATCCCCACTAAGGATGAGAATATTTCCAAACTGCTTTGAGTGTAGAATTTTAATGTTCTGGTAAGGTGAATCTCCATCACCTACTACTTCATCTATGTCATACCCAACCAGGCACCCATCAGGAGTGGGCCAGTATCTGTCGATGGCCCCTCTTTGAACTATGGTTGGTAAACACTTCACCTGCTCAATACTGGCCTGACTCAATTCTTTCATTCTCTCTTCTACTTTGTTCAAAAGGTTGTCAATTTCTTCTTTGCCCTGGATATCACTGTTGTAACTCTGAAGGTCCAGCAATACCAATCCATGTGGACAAATTCTCAAATTGGTGAAGCTGCCATTTTTGTTTGTGTAGGTTGCTAGGTAGGCATGGTCCTCCCAGGTATGCACCGACTCTGCCATGCCCTGCTCCTGGAAAATGGACTGCAGGCCTTTTAGAATGGTCTCACCATCAGCTTTGGCACCGAGCATGAAGTTGAGCGTGCTGTGCCATACTGCTGCCATAGTGAGGCGAGGCCCTGTGCCATGCCTGGGGGAGGCGGCCGCGGAGACTGGGGCCCGTGCACGTCAGGCTGCGGCTGGTGGGGAGCGCGCTGCACCGAGGGGGCGGGCAGGAGTAGGACTGGGTAGGTAATTGGTAATGTCAATAGTTATTTTCTTGTCTTCTTCTTAAGAACGCTTAATGTAAGAATCTTCTTTCTCATTTTCATGGTAACACATAAAAATAATTAAAATTATTTTACTTTGAAATAGTCTTTTTTCCCCTACTAGATTAATTTTTCTGGAATTACATTTTCCTCCAAAGCCAAAAACTCTTCAGCAATTTCTACTGATTTTAGGATCCAGTCCAAATTTCTCAGCCTGGCAATCTAGGTCATTCTATGGGTGTCCATCCCTTTGCCAGAAAAATCTTGTGTTCCAGTTGGAATTGTCATAGTTTTCCAAACACATACAGTTCATTGCTGGCTCAAAGAGTTCCCCCATGATGATCCACAGAAGAAACATCTTCCTCCAGGATATCTCTTCAGCTTACATAATGTATCTCTCCAACTCATTCCTTTTCCTTCAGTTCATGTTGATCTCTTGCTTTTCTTCTCCAATGGCACTGACACTTTTACAGAGTCATCCTATGTACCATTGGAAGATGTTAAAGGTCCTTCCACGGTACCTTAATCAGAGCACTTTCCCTTCTTGAGACAGAAAAAAAAGAAAAAAAGAAACCAGAAGAAGACTTTGGAAGGTTAAAATGTGTCTCACACACACACACACACACACACACATATATATATATGGTACCAGGGATCGAACTCGGGAATTTGTGGTTGCGAGGTAGGTGGCAGTGCCACTGAGCTGCATCTACATCCTCGGCCCCTAAAATGTATATTTTTATAGATAGCATTTTCAATTTTTAGTATTTAAATACACTGTCTGAATTGATATCCTGAATTTATTTCACTGCAGCCCACGTGGCCCATGCCACAGTTGACTTCAAGTCTAGGGAAATAATTCAAGCAAATGTTTTTTAATGTAAAAAAAAAAAGGCTTTGACATAGATTTCTAAAGCTCCATTGTGTTACATTTATAAATTCGTCCTTCAGTAAATAAAAGTCATAAAGTGCTTCTTGTCATATAATTTATGAAGAGAAAACACATATTGCAGAAGGCAGGTGTTTGGATTTGGCTTCCCTTCGGCAAGGCGAGTTTCCCAATGTCTTGCACACAGAAATGCACGGCTGGGTGTACCTACGAGTACTTCCATGAGGGTAATCCTCTGGCCTTTCAGCGGAGTACCCTGACTTCCTCTGCTGAGCCACATTGCACTGATGCAGGGAAGGAAAAAGAAGCAGGCACTGTGGAGATCTTGCTATCCATCAGGCCCCAAGCCCAGTGCTTTGATGTGTCATCTCCTTTAATGACCGTAACACTCCTGTGTGTTGGGTGCTATTATCCTCTTTGCTATGGCTGAGGAAACTGCAATTATAGGATCAGTCCAGGAGCTGGGGTCTTTATTGCAATCCAAGGTAAACAGAGAAATGATTACCTGTGATCACTGGAATGCCCAGTCTCTTGGGAAATTAGATATAGCAAGGCAGGAAAGTACACTCAGGGGTGCCAGGCCTCTGAACAGAGGACACGCACTCACAACAGACCGTGGCACCTGGAGCAGTAGCATATGGTTGTGGGGCTTGTGAACTCCACGGGGCACTGTGATCACATCCTAGGCATTGTGTTTGTATTTCTATTATGACACATTTCGGGCAGAGGTCAGTAAACTGTCTCATTCTAATCAAAGCAGTGTATTTTAACAATTTTCCAACAAATGGAAGTCAGGCGTCTTAAGGAAGGCTACCTAGTCCTAATATGCACCAGGGCACCAACTTCTCAGGCAGGAGAAGCCATGGTGGTGGTGCCCATAAATTACTGAGCACCCCAGGCCTCTCCTAGGTGGTGTATCTCCCCTTCCTGCCTGGATCAATGTGGCAAAACTTCCATGGGTTCTACAGAGTGAACCCAATTTGTTTGTTTGGTGATACTGGGGACAGAACACAAGGCCTTGCACATGCTAGGCAAGCACTCTATCACTGAACTACCTTCCCCAGCCCCATTTTAACTTTTATTTTGACAGTTTTGGGAAGTTGCCCAAGTTGGGCTTGAAGTTGTATCCTTCTGCCCCAGCTTCCTGAGTAGCTGGGCTTTATAGGTGTGTGGCACGATATTTGGTTTGAGAGAGGGAATTTTTTGATGAAGGTGATAGTAAAGAGAAAGCTACTGGTTAATTTAAGAATAGAAACAATCTAGCAAGAATCCATCTTTTAAAGTAGCATCTTTTCTGGAAGTGCAGCCCCGGCCCCAGAAACCTCCCCTGTGGGCATGTCTGTATACCACTTCTGGCTGTGTAACATTTGTGGGTGTTTTCCTAGGGCTCCTCTGACTGATTCCTAACCCTCTGTGTGCAGCAAGGAGTTAGTTTTCAGGTGGTGAGATGAGGGAGCGTCTACTTTCCAGGTCAGCACAAATTAATTAAAGATGGTGCCGAGTCGTTTCTGGGGTGACCTAAGCAGTGAAGGAGCGGCTGCTTGTGCTGTGCCCATGGGAACTGGGTGCGGTAAGCACAAAAATTGACCGAACTTAATTAAATACAAATTCCCAGAGACTGAGCTCTCACTCCACATGTATTTTCTTCAACTTTTCTATCAATGCCCTTCTTTCTGAATGTAAAATGCTTCCCATACCATATGTGTTCCAATGTGGAGGTGTTCTCTGTTCTTATATGGTAACTACAGCTAACAAGTGATGAGACTGATTTTTTGGTATTGTGTATGAGTGATCTTAATTTATAATCATGCCAGAAAAAGTTTTTGATTTTTTCAAGATAATGCATTTTAAAAAGCTATTTTCTGATCCCCATTTCAAACATTATAGATATGAATAATGTTTTAAAATTGCAAAAAGTGTTTCAAACTTATAGCTTTCTAGGCATTGGCAAAAGGGAGGATGAAGTTTAGTTGGCTGAGTATAAAAATCTAAGTATTTTATTTACTTATTTGAGACAGGGTCGCAGATAGTTCAGGCTGGCTTTGTTCTATATATATCGTTACAGCGAAATGTGACAGCTCAGCATTACAGCCAAGCATTACAGTTGTCTGAGGGTCTCTGGAGGTGAAGAAACTGAAGGTGGCACTTGGAGAGATGGAGGGAACCAACTTTTATTATGCCAGCAGCCTCAGAGGGGTTCATACACCAAAGTCTTAGCCCCGAACAGAAATGTAAGCAGCTTTATATAGAGATCTATGAGGTAGGGCATGGACTTAAGTACCGGGCAAGCATACTCACAGAAGGGGAAGGGCGGAGTTAACAGAACATCTTGAAATATCAAGAACACTGTGCAGCTTGAATAGTTACATTACTTGAGCAGAACATCTTAAGGCAAAAACATGGTGGGGGGCTTGGGGACAGACAAAGGCCTGCCATGTTGTGCAATATCAATATGTATGTGTGTTTTACATATTATATATGTTATATGGGTATGCACTCATATATTTATAGGAATATGTAAATGCAAATAATCTTTACACATTAAATATTCATGTTCAGTATTTGCATAAAATATACATGTACTTACATACACAGTACATATTTTTGTGTATTTATATACATATATACACATATATATGTATATTTCAACCAGATCTTATCTTAGTCCATTCTGTGTTGCTGTAAGAGAACACCTGAGACTGGAATTTATAAAGAAACAATTTATTTCAGGATGCCAGGAAGTTCAGTAGTGAGGTGCTGGCATCTGGTTAGGGTCTTCTTGCTGCATTTTAACACAGCAGAAGGGCTAGGATTTAGCTCAGTGGTTCTGCCGCCTGCCTTGCAAGCACAAGGTCCTGAGTTCGATCCCTGGTACCAAAAAAAAAAAAAAAAGAAAGAAAAGAAAGAAACACAGTGGAGGGCATCACGTGGTGAGAGAGTACACAAGAGAGCAAGAGCGAAGGGGCAAGAGAAAGCCAAGGAGGCTGAACTTGATTTTGGGATTAATCTCCTCGTGCAATAACAGCCCAATCCATCCACAAGGATGGTGCCCACATGCCCTGCTCCCCTTTGAAGGGGCTCAACAGCCAGTACCATCCCAGTGCTGATTCAGCTTCAACAGGAGTTTGGAAGGGGACACCCAGTCCTTAGCAGATGGACATATTTATTAAAGGGTACATCTTGCTGGAACAGCCAAAGAATAAATCACAAGCTTACTGAGGCTCTTCAGGTTAGCACACTGGCATTTAATTTTAGCAGTTAATGTCTTTAATGTGTTTAATCATCCGGGAAAGGCCTTGGCTATTTTACTATACATATGTGGTAACTTACTAGACTGTCATAGTCACTTTCCCGTTGTTGGAAACAACACCCAGCACCTACAATTTAAAGCAGGATAGGTTTATTTTGGCTCAGTTTTAGTGGATTTGGCCCAAGGTCAGCTGGCTCCAAGACAGAAACAGGATGGTACAGGGGCATGGGGAGGAAAAGGTGCTTATCCTAAGGCAGTCAGGCAGCGGGGGTGGGAAAGGAAGCTGAGGAGAAGACTCCTCCCTTCTGCTCTCACCTCCAGTGACCCACCTCCAACCAGGTCCCACCTCCTAAGAGGACGTTTAGATAAGGAACTCATCAATGGACAGATTGCTGGTGAGCACAGGGCCCCATGATCCAGCACCTTCCACACACAGGAGGCTTTTGGAGGACACTAGATCTAAACCATAATATAGGCTGAGGCCCACATGTAAGTTTGTACAGAGGAATTCATGGGGGTCATTGTGACCAGACTTCGGGCACCTCACATAGCATGCTGTCTTTCCTCACAGCTTCTGCTCAGCTATTAGATGGCCCTGCACTGACAATGAAGTCTCCCAGGAGGCAGCTGATTGCCAACTAATGGAAAGTAATTTTGAAGGTTTGCCGAATAGACAAAAAAATGAGTAGAACCGACCCCAGGCATTGCTAATACAGTA